TCACGTTTCGTAAGGGTAATGTACCCAAGGAACCCTATTCCGAAAAACCGATACCAGCCTAGTTTGCTTTTCATTTTGGCAGCGATATTCCACCTCCTAGGTCTGAATACATTTACCCCATGTTTTTGGTATCTAAACCAGAGTTTGGTGGTTGAATTTGGCAGCTTTTGAAAAAGTACATCACACGTCCTTGCAGTGGGTTTTACAACTATGCTTATAAGTGTATCTGTTCCGACACGATAAACGAAGCTAGCCTACTCAGCTAGACAACATTGATCTATGCACTGTGATGTTCGATATTTTTGTTGTGAAGTCTGAAGTGTTTTGCGGCAACCAGTGAGACTTAAAAAAATTACGTAAACGATTTCGCGTCAGTAGCTTCTGACGAATCTGCCAGATAAGATCAATTACTAACCAGAAAACACACCAGTATGGCCCATTCACTTCCAGTCCGAGACGAAATCCTTGCCAAATTTATGCTGCTGATGTCGGGTTATCCTCGAAACAAAGTAATCAGATTCCATGTGACCGCAGGTAATTTACCCGAGAAAATTCATCGTGATATTCTATGGTTTTAAATCATTGCACATGAAGGTAGCCAGCTAGAGAACAAGGCCCGTTGCTGCACATTTGAAATTTTGGAACGCGAAACTCCGACTAAACTTACGCTTCCTTGGGCTACAATCGATATTGGCGGTGTTGTGGAATGTAGGTAGCTCTGGTGCGCTGCTTGGTTTTTGGTCTGTTCGCCGGGCTTGGCAGTTGGATGGCAAACGTTCCATCATCAATCGAGGTAACATCATCGGGGCAGGGTTGGAAGGAACCAACCAAGCAATCGGTATCTTGCATTCCTAGGATTTAAAAAGAACTTACCGGCCCCACTCTGCATTATTCAGGACATCCCGAGTATATACTATACGGCTGTTTCAGCGTAATATCCAACTAAAGACGTCACATATATATCTGAGAGAATATATGTTCCTCTTTCTTCCTGATGCCACCCTTGGTGTGACTAAACATGCCCGTTTTTTCAGAAACTCGCAGAATACATCGGTGGCTGTACGGAGTTTGGTTACCGGACACATGTAGATCAACCCAGTAGCTAAAAATCCACTTCGAAGACCGGTTATATCCGGGTTTATAAGATTCAGATTTAGATAGGCGTCAGTTGTACGTGTTCTCATTTACAATTCGATAACCAATCATGGACTGCGGCTTCATCATTTATCCCCAGTTAACCTAATGAGTAGAGACCAGGAATCCACATTCATTCGTCTTCGTTGATGCTGGAAATGAAAGAATGTTCTTTAATAAGCTTTACTTGAACTTCCAAAACAAGGCTCAAGGCAATGAGGACGATGAGTTTTTGATAACTGTGTTATTCCTGCAATCATTCCGAGAAATTGACCGTTTTCCTTCTTGAAAATGGAGATAGATAAACGGGAAAAATAGACAATTTATGCTGTTGATGTCAAGTTATCCTCAACACAAAGTTACCAGCCTCCAGGTGGCCGCAGGTTAGTCAGATGAATTTAATCATCAACTACGTACAGACGGGCCTGATCGCTGATGGTTCATTTCGCACACGTCAATGTACAAGTCGGGTGACATACTGCATTCACTATGCGCCTGACTTCGAGTTCCCCATTTTACCTTCAAGAGAGGCTGACTGAGTTTGCACGCGGTTGATCGCTGACGGTGCACGTGGAAACATCATTAGAATGGGAAAATGGAGAACAATGAAGAACTGAAAGACCAGTATCTGAATAAACAATGCATTTGGAACGGAAATCATCGGGTCTCTGGTCCCGGGTATAACTTCACATTGGGTTGCATAAGGACAACTCAACCCTGGTTAGCGCCGTGGGAAAAGGAAACAGAAGTACTGGTCTACATATTCTGTAGGTGTTATCCTAGCAACAAGTAAAGAAATTAGTTCATTCTAATACCTGTTTTCACGGAATTCTTAGTCCGCACAGGTGGTTAAGCTATCACCTGTCAGATCAGCATATGGTTGTTTTTTCTTAGTTGTTACGCGCTCGTTATTTTTTTAAGCGACAGTCTGTGTGGTAACAACACTAACTGAGTAAACAATGCTACGGACTCAGGCACATGAGTTAGCCAGTGACGTGTCCAGGGGTGTGATCATGAGTTTGTTGTAGGTAAGTATATTACTAGGTAGTATATGAATGCGATTCACGAGGCCAGTTAGGTACCATTAGTGGCATCCGTCCAAGCATAGTACCATTGCTAAGCCGTGGAGTTTTTGCTGATAGAGAAAACACACCGCAACTTCCTCTACACACACTGCTAGCCACAATGTGTGGAACTCGAGGCTTCTGCTAACATCCTTCGTAAAAGAATGCTTTCCAGGAACGCACATGAATTCCGACGAAATTCGTACTACTACGTTAGAAAATGTCTGGGTTTCGAAAATCTGGTGTGATTTCAAAAATTCCATGTGATTTCAATTACCTTGCATAGATCTAAGTCACCGGTTTACTTCCTGACGAGGGAGATGGACAAATGGATAACCGAATGTTTTATGATACTCTTCTATAAATCAATAATTGAAAATAATACTAATAGTTAATAACAATAATTTCAGGTAGCATGTTGGTTCACTGGGAAAGATAAACAACCATCAGAGCATGTGTGCTCAAATGTAGTCTTGGTACATTCGGACAAACTCGAGGCTTTTCACAAAGGAAACTACTAACAAGGTTGGTGAAAAGTCTTCAACAGCCCACGATCGGTTTCGCCCTTCTTTGGTCTCATCAGGTAGGCGCATTCCCCGAGTTTCCGTCAACCCTGTGTTCTAGTTGAACCCAAATTGGACTGTTCTCGAGAAATACACTCACTTGCAGATCAATTTGGTATGAAAATATACTACGATATCTCGAATATCGTGCCATATCTGCTGACCCGCTCCAGTGATCAGTGCCTGAGAACAGACTCACAGAAGGGAACACAGCAGCTATACTCCGAACAAGCGAATGAGTGCGCGCGAGTGCGAGAGCATAAGTTACAACGATTGCACGCTATTTACAAGGGATTTTCTGACGTTGATCCAGGCTGTTTGATAGGCGGTAATGAACACCCATCAACATCGATCGTGCCTCCATGAAAAGCCTGAACGCTGATCACATTCGGTCGTGCTTTTGTGGCGTGCTGAATTGATTGAATGTTTGACTTGCCTGGATGGTTGCCGGCTTTCCTGGTGAGATTTTGGTGGAGCAGTAGGTTCCGGGCGTTACTTTTAGGAATCTGACCTGCCTGATACTAGCTAGAAGTGAAATAACACGGCCAGATCGTGCTTGGCCTTTGTGAGTTCCCGCGCCGTTTCAGGTGCGTCGATTGACCTACTCATCATCAAATTATCTTTTGTGGCGTCCCGCCCTATTCCATTCAGATTTCCTTGCAAAAATTTGATTCTCAGGGACGAATGGCCGTCACTCCATCAATGATTATTAGTTTTGGAAATTTCCTTTTTTAGACGAAGGCTGCTCATCTCGGATAAACTCCGAGAAAACGGCCATCTGCGAACCGTAAATATGTGTTTCTTCCGAACTACATGAGTGCTTTGCCCGACTCATTCTAACCGTTTGATTTGAATGCCGTTAGCAAACAACCAAGACCGTGCAATAGCCTACATAGGCTAAATTCGGCTTTCCAATTTAGTGGATTTACACTAAAATGAAACACAACTGCCCAACTCAAATCCCAATGTTTATCGGGGATGTCCGGCCGCGACAACTAAGTCGCATGTTAACGTATTGTCTAGGATTCTCCCCGAGTCAAGCAGTTTGTTTACTTCGCGTCTTATCACCAACCAATGAGAACCAGCCCAGAGAAAACGTCAACGAATCCTTCAAAATTTTGTTTGCCCGATATCTTTGTTATATGTATGTAATATGCACGCAGCACATATTGTGTTGGTTATGTATGAAATATATTTATATCAGCACGTGTGTGTCGGTAATTGATTAAAAGCGGCCATGATAAGCCTGGTCCGTCCCGTTGAGATTAGTTGGTGAACTCGCGCCAACTGCAAAAGTCAAACAGAACAATTACTACTGCATGTACTGAACCTGACGAAAGAACCAGTTACTGTTTGGGTGATTGAATGGTGTTTCCAATCGGGGTGGAAGTATTTGTAAAGGTCAAATTTGTAGATATTGGTTCAGCAGTGTGATGGATGGGGGAATAGCTTTTAAGCAATATGATGCTTGCAACATTAGATTCAAACTTTGCTAATTTCGGGATGAAAAAGCGAAGACACCGTTCATCTTCTTTCGAGTCATCAGCATTACGCAGCTCTCGAACCTCCAGGTTGGTCAGAACTCACAAACTTTCCGTAACTCAGATGACTGAACTGATTTGGCCCATTAGCAGTTGATTTTTCCCCTCATCTAAGCTACTTTGTGCCGTGCCAGTAGCGAGAAGACAGTTGGAAATTTCAATGAAGATTTCTGATTCTGTTTGAACACCAGAGAGATGAGATCATAACAGAAGCATTTTGCAATGCTTCTCCGATTTTCACTTCGCATAGAGGAATTCAACTGCGTATCATCTTAGTTAAGTGTACTTCAGATCAGCAACTTGTGACCGAGTTCTCTAGTCTTCGAATACAAGTCAAGATGACACTGGTTGGAATAGGACCAAAGAGTCAACAAGTTGTGACCAGGTGATTATTCTCGATAGAGACGAAACCGTGTGAAATACACTCATTTGCAAATCAATTTGGTTTTCACAAAAGACTCAAATGAATCTCTCGTTTATGATATTCTACAACTGCGAAACCGGTCGTGGGCTGTTGATGAGCTTTCAGCAACCTTGTGAGTAGTTTTCTTTATGAACACTTGGAGAGATATTCTTGTTAGCCTTGACTGCCTTAGTTAAAACGATAGTTACATACTTATGTTTGGCTTGGGGCGCACTACTGAGACGAGTGACCCTATCCGCGTCTATCCGCCCAGTTTATACATCAGGTTAGGCAATATCGGTAGGTTGTTGACTAGGGTTCGCGACTATTGCGCAGGCGCCATATTCAACTGCCGAACATTTGTCAGTATGTGGCATGGGAGAACTGATTGAGCTGTGGATAAACTCTTGTTTATAACAATAGGACTGTCTCCCGCTGCTTTTGAAATAAAATTGTTGCAGCAACGGCACCGACGAACTCACCTGAGATACATTACGAGTACGTTCACAACAGGAAACCAGGGTAGCACTAATGATTTGATTGAAATCCCTGCGTGAAACAAAATAGAATGCTTATAAGTAGTGATAGATTGCATATGTAAACATAATTATTCTTTAAGAAGTATCTTGTATTTCGGGTTGAAGTTCTAGGTGGATCAGGAATAAGCCGGAAATCCTGTCAACAAAATAACCCTGCAATCCACCTCTGGCATCCGTAAAATTTAGTCCAACTGGCGACGTAGTTGAAAGGACGGAATGACGCTTGAATGACGAGCAACGAATTCCTACGTTCTGCAGTGTCACCCCACCTAATGGACGAACCAATAAGCTTTTTTGTTCAACAGCTTTCTCCAAATATAAAGACAGCTTGCCTACGGAGCTCTTGTTACCGACGCGAACGAGGACAACTTTCTCGACGGCGTGAACGATGCCCCGACGGATGTGCGGGCCAAGTTTCAAAGTTGTAGTTGGCGGCGATGAACTCCTTGATGGTCGGAAGTGATGTGCCCTCGCGGTCCTTCGCGGCGTTGATGGAGGCCTTCACCATGTCGATTGGCGGCGGCTGGTTCACTGGGATCTTGAACTTGCACGAATTGGCTTTTTTCGAACCGGTTGGAGCAGAGGCGGACGCACTCATTCGCTTCGTGAGACGTTTGCCGCAAACGGATACGATAACAATACACGGTCACAGTTCCGAATGATCGCGTAAAATCTCAAAATAGACCAATATGTATATGTCCATAAATTTTGCACTAACATTCGGCAACAATTCCGTGTTTGATACCTTGTTCTGAGAAGGATCTTATTATAGCTTAAGTTGAATTTCAAGACAGATCAAGAGCAAACCGAAAATAATTTCCACAAAAGTATACACCAGGCAATTTTATTTAACAATTTCGGTCTAGCTAATAGCTCCACATGCACAAACAACGAACTCACTGTCACCCCACGTAAGCGGTACACCGGTGAAATGAAAAAGGCCTGAACAGGTGCAGATTTCGCGTAGGGAAGCAAAACTGTCATATGCATCTTGTTCACAAAACTAAATATCCATCTTCCGCTTGAACGCGTCTTCTAGAACTTTCCTGGATACTCCTTGAACGTTACTCAAATGCAAGTAAATGCTACAAAGCGACTCCACAAAAATTCCGTAATAGATCTAACTTTTCAGGAGACACGAAGCGGATTTGAGTGAAACATACTACTCACATATCTCATCAGTAGTATCCACGGTTGCACCAGTAAGCTTTTGTTCAACGGCTATTTCTAACTATAAAAAACCGGTCGTTGATATAGCTGAAGGCTTAAAATAATGCAAATCATCGTCTCCGTGTGAACACGAAAACTTAAAACAAATTGCAACCAATGGTCAACACGGGTTTTTCTTCGAAAATTCAGTTCGGTGTAGCTCCGAAGTGGTAGATGCAAAACGGAGCTTTCCTCCTCTGCAGCATGCTCTCCGTCCAGGCAAAATGAACAGCCAGTCGTTTAGAATATTTCATTTGCGACATGGCTTATCTTTACCTATGGTACAAACATGAGATGTG